GTTGGTGTGAAGAAATGCATTTTGTCCTGGGAGATTTGCAAGGAGCAAAACCTCTACTTTGCATTTTAACAAGTTTTTTTCTCTGGCAGAGACCAGGCTGGGAAGGAGGAAGTCAGTCAATGGCTTTCCAGGCTCACCTCAGCTACATCTTAAGACATGCTAATAGATATAGCTAAAGACAATGGGATGATCAAGCCCTTCCCCTTCTTCAAGCAGGGAACAGAGACTCGGAGGACTTTAGGCTATAACGGATCCAGGAATAATCTCCAGGAAGAAGCTTTAGGAAATGCTTATCTGACCTGGTGTGACCTGATCAGTGGGTAGAAAAACAGATATGACAAAAACTCTTTTCCTTGAGTGCTGAGACCATGAGCAGAGACAGACCTCTCCACTGGCAAGGCAGCCATTGACCATGTGCTCGCCCAGAGAGCTACAGCAAGCTTCAAGGTTAAGGTAACTCTGTAGAGACCTGTAACTCCCTAAGCTTTAGGAGCCTGTCCTATTTTAACAAGTGAGGTTCCAGATTTTTGAATTGGATACAGAACATCCACACTAAACAACAAGCAAACATTTTAATCAACGGGGTCTTGACAAATGGATTTAAAATAGAAAAAGGAAACTGTCAAGGATGTCCACTCTCTCCACTTCTCTTCATTCTTGTGATGGAAATCTTTGCTTCTAAGATAAGAAAAGATCCCAAAATTGAAGCATTAAAAGGAGAAGAAGAGGAGTTTAAACTAAAGAGTTATTTCAACCCCCCCAACTATCTCTCCAACATGTAACAGAGCAAATGGACAGGTCTGGATCCTTTTCAGGTTATAAAATCAAGAGGAAGAAAACCAAGATTATTGTAAAATTTTCAATTACTCAAGAAGAGGAGGAGATTAAGAAAATTTCAGGATGTGACATAACAAACAACCCAGTCAGATATTTAGGCGTATATCTCATGGGACAGAATGATACACTATTTAAGGACAATTACATGACAACCTGGTCCAAAATACAAAAAGAATTTGAAAGATGGTCCAAATTACATCTATCCTGGTTACTCACTGAGGTTCTGCTCCTGCCCCCTCCATGAAACAGACTCTCTAGAACACATATTTTTCAACTGTGTATACCATAGGGTGATCCGTATGGAGACTATTAGTTCACTGTTAGAAAGGTTTCCTTGATTACCTCCTGTCTGACAGGAACCACCAGACAACAAGAAAGGTGGCTAGATTTTGTGCCCAGGTTTACAAGGAACGTAAAATGCATGGCAATTAGATTTTTTAATCTTTTATCTAAATTATACACAAATTTTATGGCGGTCTTATTTTATCTCTATGTTATAGTCACAGTTTTTTAAATTTAAGTATGCCACTGTTGGTCTTATCTCATATTTATTATTCAAATGTTTTTATGTAAAATGATTGAGTGAACTGGTCGTTGACTGTAACAATAAACTTGACTTGACTACATCTATCCTGGCTAGGAAGAATTTCTGCTATAAAAATGAATATACTACCAAAATTAAACTTTTTGTTACAGATGATCCCAATTTTAATTCCTGAAAAGACTTTGAGTGACTTTCAAAGATAAATAAATAAATTTGTATGGAAAGATAAGAAGCCAAGAATAAAAGTACTGCAATATGAGAACAAAAGAGGTGGTTTGGCAATTGTTGTTGTTGTTTTTCCGTCGCACAGTTGAGGCCGACTCTTCATGACCCCATGGACCACATCACGCCAGGCCCCCCTGTCTTCCGTCATGCTCCAGAGTTTGCTTAATTTCATGTTCATTGCCTCGATAACACTGTCTAACCATCTCATCCTTTGCCATCCCCTTCTTCTTTTACCTTCAATCTTTCCCAGGATCAGGGTCTTCTTCAGTGAGTGCTCCCTTCTCATTTGGTGGCCAAAGTATTTGAGCTTCATCTTCAGTATCTGGCCTTCCAGGAAATAGTCAGGGTTGATTTCTTTTTGGATTGACTGATTTGATCTCCTTGCAGTCCAGGGGACTCTCAAGAGTCTTCTCCAGCACCAGAATTCAAAAGAATCTATTCTTCAGCGCTCGGTCTTCCTTATAGTCCAACTCTCGCAGCCATACAGTACTACTGGGAATACCATTGCTTTGACCATGCGGACTTTTGTTAGCAGGGTGATGTCTCTATTTTTTATTATGCTGTCTAGGTTTGCCATCACTTTTCTCCCAAGGAGCAGGCGTCTTTTAATGTCATGAGTGCAGTCACTATCTGCAGTGATCTTGGATCCCAGGAACGTGAAGTCTGTCACTGCTTCTATGACTTCTCCTTCTATTTGCCAAGGAGTGATGGGGCTGGATGCCATGATCTTAGTTTTTTTGATGTTGAGTTTCAAGCCAACTTTTGCACTCTCCTCTTTTACCCTCAGCAAGAGACTCTTTAGGTCCTCCTCACTTTCTGCCATTAGAGTGCATCTGAGGTTGTTGATGTTTTTCCCAGCAATCTTAATTCCATCTTCTGAATCATCTAGGCCAGCATTTTGCATGATGTACTCCACATATAAATTAAATAAGCAAGGGGACAACACACATCCTTGTCGTACTCCTTTTTCCTGTGCTAAACCAATCAGTTGTTTCATATCCTATTCTAACTGTTGCTTCTTGACCCTTATACAGGTTTCTCAAGAGACATGTGAGGTGGTCTGGTACTCCCATCTCTTTAAGGACTTGCCATAGTTTGTTCTGATCCACACAATCAAAGGCTTTAGCGTAGTCAATGAAGCAGAAGTTGATCTTCTTCTGGTACTCTCTTGCTTTCTCCATAATCCAGCGAATGTTGGCAATTTGATCACTCGTTCCTCTACCTCTTTGAAACCCATCTTGTACTTCTGGCAGTTTTCTATCCATGTACTGCTGAAGCCTTGCTTTGTAGGATCTTGAGTGCAATTGTGTGATAGTTTGAACATTCCTTGGCATTGCCCTTTTTTGGAATTAGAGTGTAAACTGACCTTTTCCAATCCTGTGGCTGCTGTTGTGTTTTCCAAATTTGCTGGCAAATTGAATGCAGCCATACCTAACATTAAATTATATTACCAAGCCACTGGGCTAGTTTGGATATCAGATTGCATCAGAAGTCCCAATGAAAGATTGATAAAATTAGAATCTTCAAATCTTGATGATGGACTTCATAGCTATCTGTGGATTAAAAGATCTATATCAAAAAACAAAACCCAAGATAAAAGGCATATGATCAGAGACAGCTTATTTAAAATTTGGGAAATGATACGAAAGAGAACCAGCCCTACAATTCCACTAATAATGTCACCAATAGATGCTTATTACAGCAATTACACAAGGAGAAAAAATGATTTAATAACTTATGGTGATATGATAAACTCACAAGGTTGCATCAAGACGTGGCAAAAGATGAAAGAAGACGGAAAGGATATACTTTCAATGGTGGATATACTTGCAATTTGCTTCCAGATTAAAAAATGATATCTGCACTAAGAGAGGAGTTATTAATGAACTGACTGGCTTTGAAAAGATTGTCTCACAATCTAAAGACCATTTATTAGGACAAATGTACAAGTTATTGCTTCAATATGATTCCGAAGGAGAACAGGTCAAATCCTGCATAATCAAATGGATGCAAAATTTCGGTGAGGAAATACAGTTTCAATGTTGGGAAAACCTATGGATTAAAGGTACTAGATTCACCGCTAGCCAAGCATTAAGAGAAAACTGGTACAAGACGTTTTACCAATGGTACATCACCCCAAAAAATATTGCAAAGATGGATAAGAATTACAAAGGGGCTTGCTGGAAATGTAAAAAAGAAAATGGCACCTTTTAGCATATGTGGTAGACTTGCATCAAGATGAAAAGATACTGGAAAAATATACATGAAGAAATTCAAAATATTTTAAAAATCAAATTTCCAATGAAACCAGAGACTATGTTACTGGGAATCCTACCAGATAATATAGACAGAACCTCACAAGACCTACTTAGATATATGTTGACAGCTGCCAGAGTAATATTTGCAATGAGATGGAAGACAGAAGACTGTCTTACAATAGAGATCTCGAAAGAAAAACTAGCTCAGTATGCAACATTGGTAAAACTAGCCAATATTGAAAGAGTGCTAATGTTTTAAGCATGTTTTTATTTTAAGTAAAAAAAAACCTTGTGTTTGCTACCTGGCATTACATTTTATGACACACATGGCCCAGCCCAGCAAGGTCTCATTTATGTCAGATCCAGCCCTCATAACAAATGAGTTTGACACCCCTGATATAGGCAAAAGCCAACTGAAAGCTGGAGGGCTTCTGTCAGGCCCGCAGTGGAACTGGGTGTCTTCTGCTGCTTCTTCCAGTTCTGCTGCTGCTGCGTCATCATTGGTTTGCAGCTTATAGATACAGACCTGAGCAGCATACTCAAGATTGCAACAGCACAGACATTTTGATGCAATAATTCAGAGCAAGAGGTGTCAGTTATCAGACACTGCTAAATAAACAAAATATTGCAAGAGTGCTAATATTTTAAGCATGTTTTTATTTTAAGTTAAAAAAAACCTTTGTGTTTGTGTCCTTTATAAAGTTTTATATCTCTGCTACCTGGCATTACATTTTATGACACACATGGTCCAGCCCAGCAAGGTCTCATTTATGTCAGATCCAGCCCTCATAACAAATGAGTTCGATATAAACAAAAGACAACTGAAAGAATTTCAGCAGAAATGGCAAGCTTATTACTCATACTATGGGAATAATTAACTTTATTTAGTTTTGGAATGATCTGAATAGCATATTAAAGGTGTGAGCTGGAGGCTAAAAAAGTGAGAGCTAGCTCACACTAACTCAGCTTAGAGGGAACACTGCTCCACATTCCTAAAAATAGGAAAAGAAATGGATTGTTGGATTGCAAGGAGAAACTGGGTAAAGTGAGATTAAAATTTCTCTTAACAAAGCTAGCACACACTGCATGATAGTAATTTGTGAAGCCAAACCTTAGACTGGACTATATTCACATACCTTCTTTCACATCTTGCTTCTTCTCTTGAGTTTCTATCTCAGAATCATTCTCTACTTTGGGTTCAGCCAATTCTTCATCTTCCTCATCCTCTACAAGAAAGAATAAAGGAAAAATTAACGTTTTTCTTTCAGGGTATGATTAGATTTTCACTGATATTTAGCCACAATTAATACACTAGTAAGGATGGCACAAACTGGAAAAATGCAGTTTGGATTATGTTTGGTGGAATGCCCGGTTCACAAAGACAAACAGTCACAAACTTTCTGGTACCAAATAAACAGGTTTGGTTTGTGAAGTTCATGACATGGTAGAACAGCCCCGTGGTGAGCTAGAAACACCAAACTCACAAGGGATCTCCAGCTGACTCTCCTCTACCTGTTGTCCATGTTTGGTGATGATTGGATTTATGGGGTCTAAGTTATTTATGGATTTATGGGGTCTGAGAGCCAGTTTGGTGTAGTGGTTAAGTGCATGGACTCTAATCTGGGAGAACCGGGTTTGATTCCCCACTCCTCCACTTGCACCTGGCTGGATGACCTTGGGCAAGCCATAGTTCTGATAAGAGCTGTTCTTGAAAAAAGAGCAGTTTCTGTCTGAGCTCTCTCAGCCCCACCTACCTCACAGGGTGTCTGTTGTGGGGAGGGGAAGGGAAAGGAGTTTGTAAACCACTCTGAGACACCTTTGGGTAGTGAAGGGCAGGGTATAAATCCAATCTCTTCTTCTTCTTATGAAGGTGCCCCCAGGAAAGTGCTTTCTGGGAAAAGGCAGAAATGGCAGGTGCAGGTTCAGGAGTATATAGAACAGACTCTGTGGAAGCTAGAGGTATCAAACTTGCAGGGGACCTCCCCCTGATGCTTCTGTACGTGTCCTCCAAGTTATGTGCATAGTTATCCCCCCCCCCCAGAAAATGCCCCCAGGAAAGTGCTTTTAGGGGAATGTGAGGTACAGGTTCAAAAGTGTATAGAATGGACCCCCTGTAAACTATGCACACCAAACACACAGGGAACTTCACCCTGCCACCCACTCTTCTACAATCTTCCCAAGTTGGAGGCTTATTACATTTCTGGGGTCCCAGTTATGGACCCCCCAAAAAGGTCTCCCATATTAAAAAGTCTTGTCTGTAAGCATCCCAAGAGACTTGTGCAACCAGCTATGCATGCCCAGATGTTTTTTGGCTTGTGTTCATCAAACAGCCTACATGGCAAATAATGTTGAAGCTTAGTGAAGTTACAAAAGCAGTTTATGAAATATGACATGGAGGCTTGCTTTAAACAACAACTATGACCTGTGATACTATGGCTGCAATCACACACACTAAATAGTCCACTTTCAATCAACTTTCAATGTACTTTCCAACTGGATTTTACTGTGTGAACTGGTAAAATCCAGTTGGAAAGTGCATTGAAAGTGGATTATTTAGTGTGTGTGATTGCAGCCTATGTGTGGCGGCCAGGGAGTAAACACCATTGATCTCAGCTGGATTTACTTCTGAGTAAATAGCCTGAAGTCATGCACATAAGTTAGAAAGTATCTAAGTGGGGTTGTATTCTTTGTAATTTCTTTCTCTTTCCAGGTCCCTGGCAATAGTTTATGCACAGACTTAGCCAGGAGTATAATAGAAGCAAGTTTCTAAATTCCAAGTTTCCAAGATATTCTAAAATGAGTCACCTGTTCCTTTCTATCCCCTGCAGCAACTTTCCCTCTCAGATGTCTAAGTTTGACTTTCGTCCCCAGAGGCCTCTCTGAGCCAGGAAAGGGGAAAAAAACACATACATGTTTCAGCCTGGCAGCTACACTACTAACAAGACACCTGTTATTCAAACACCTCATTTCCAATTCAATTCTCACCAGATTAATTTGTCTGTTGACCTACAAGGAGGGGTTAAATAGAATCCTGACCTTGGGTCAGATGCCACTGGCAAACAAACAAGCATGGCACAGTTCTGAAAAGCCATCACTGCTGGACTTCAGAACCCACCAGCCACGAGATGCATTTGGAGCTTAAGAACAGTTCAGCATTAATATGAATTTAATGAGCACTGAAAATTGACACATGTCAGCTACCGCTAGCAGATGTTTTACTGCCCTTTCCTGACCTATGCAAATCTCTCTTCTCCTCCTTTTTCCTTCTTCTACCCTACTCACATATTCATCCTTTCCTGTTATTTGTATTTTGCCCGGTTTGCCTCCAGCTATACAGAGCTTGAACATCCAGGTCAACACACATTTTTATGATGATGAAAGTCCCAGAAATGAAACCAACCAAATAGAAACACCTATAGGCACTAAGCACCATTTGGAAGGGAAGAAGCAGAGCAGAAAGTCCCAGCTTTGAACTCTTATATGTTAGCAAGCAGGAATATGAAAGAGATCTGCTACAGAGTCCAGAAGAACTGATAGTCTGAACTGGTAGAAACCAACTTTATATCTCAGGGCCTTTCTGAATTCTGATTCATATATTACTCAGAGCAAGAACTGGAGTGTTGAAAACATCAGCTCAGTCAAGTTCTTCCACTCCCCTCTTGTAATCTCTAGTTCACCTTACCTCATGTCTTTGAGTCCTTATGATGAGTGTTTTTTTACCACACCAAAGTCAGTCAGTGCAGTGACACAAGGATGGGGAAAAGCTCAAATAACTGCAAGATGTGAGGTAAATTGGACTACATGTTAGGAAGGGGCAGTATGGGAACTCATATTGGGGATCTTGTTTTTGATGCCAGACAGATGTTTTTTATAACATACTGTGCCACCCTCAGATGTTGAATTCTATTAACGGAAATTAAACCTTGAATCCTAAGACCAACATCAGAATCACCTTTGAACGCTTAGTTTTATGTCAGTTTCCAAGTGTGTTCACTATGAAGATTCACAGAGATCAAAGGTATCAGGTTTTAGATTTCTGGACCAGAGTGAAACAAAACATTAACCTAACCATTCCAAGGTGACATTTAAACACATCTGAAGACACAGGCCCTGATCTAGAGCAGGGCTGGCCCAAGGAATTGGGGCACCCTAGGCCTCTTTTCTCCCCCCAACCCTTGTTGTGCCACAGAGAGGTGAAAGTTGCACCCAGCTTCCACACCCCACCTGCCCTCCACCAGACACAGAGAAGAGCTGTTGCCTACCCTCCTAGTCCCCTGGTGCAGGGGCAAGGCCCAGCACTGTGCTGTGTTGGTACCCTCCCTCCTCATCCCCTTGGCAGCAGGATAAGGCCTGGCAACTTCCTCTTTCCCCAGTGGCACAGCAGGAAGCTGCTGCCCTCCTCCCCCTCCCCACAGCCAAGTGAGGCAAGGTAGAGGGAAGGAGAAAGACATCATACTGGGAAATCTGTGAATTTATCTCTGGATTATTTTTAAAAGGCTGGTAAATCCTGGGGAGATTAAGATTGGGTCCATGTTATGGTGAGACAAGACTTTTCCAACCTGCCATTTTTCCGACTTCAAAAGCCCCCTCCCCTTGCTTTGAGTGCTCCAAATGGAGAAAACATACAGGCAACCTGTATGCTTTCCCCTTCATGGCAAATAGATTGGGGGGGGGGAGGAAAACTAAAGTCAGGAAACTGTAAGGAGGCAAGGATGAACCTCTCCCTTCTCCGATACCTTGGCCCCATTTACTAATAAAAATGTTCTGGAGGAAAATGCTCCTTACATCATGTCTACTTTAGCCTCAGGATCAGAAAGAGTAAGAGCTGAGGGAAGGAGCCCCCAAACACTACCCAGATCCCGCTTTTCATCTCCTGTCACATAAACAGATCAACACTGTGAGGAGCTTCAGAACTGTTTTTGTATGTATTACTCATCTACAACTTAACCAATTTATTGACTGATTACATTTTAAATGTTTAAGGTATTTAAAGCCACATGAAGTTAAGAGACAAAATGATTAATTTAAATAATTAATTCTTTCCTTCATCGTTAGAAGAAAATAACACCTATAATATTTCCTTTCTTCATTTTAGCTGCAAACCAAAATAAGTTTTAAAAAATAACGTGCACCTTTAACTCGCGCCACTACCAATAATAACTGGCTGTCACTGCTTCAAACTAACCCTCACAATTAATCAACCATAGATTTAAATTAGTCAGCTAAATTAAATTAGTCAGCTAAATTAAATTAGTCAGGTGGATTAAACAGATAAACGTAATAAGTAAAGGTGTATAAGTTCCACTGAACTCCATTGGCTGCTCCTACTGACTTTTCCACTCAATCTTACCACATTGCCCTCCCATGTGGCTTTTATCCACTTGGGTCCCCCACCCATTTTTGGTGGTCAAAAGAGGCCCCCTCCTTTCCCTCATGTCAGCAGCCTAGCAGCATTTACTTCCAGGCAAATATTCACAGACTAGCTTGGTAGCTTCAATAAACAGCACTTTCCAGGTACAAACACCCTTATGCCACTTACCTAAAAAGAAGTCTCACTGATTGCAGCGGAATACGTTTCTGAGGAAAGTTTGCACAAGAACGCATTCTGTGTGCACTGTGATATATGATTTGTACACAAAAATGGGGGGGGGGGATTCCAAAGTCATTTTTCTCCGTTTACACAGCAGTCATTAATTTGCCTGTAATGTGCTGTGATTGTTTTTCCATGACAGTAATTTTGTACATTATTCTAATTTTTAAAGCTCAAAAATGCATACATTTTGCTGTCATCTCTGCCATGCAAGGCTGTCCCATGGGGTTCACGCTCACAAATGACTCATAGTTGTTTGAAATAATTCTCCTTTTATAACTTCATTTTGACATTGGCTGTAGAAATAAAGAAGGTCTCTGGTGGTCAGAACAATGTTTCCATTGAAACAATGCTTCTATTTGAACAGCTCACTACGCTTTTGAATGACCAGTCTGCCTTGAATTTCAAATAGAAAGATTTATAGCCAAGGTTCCATCCCTAAATCCATTTTCTTTTTTTTTATACTTCTTAAATCATCACCAATCTTCTGAAGTACCTAATTCAACTGGTTTCAGTGCAATTCATTATATGAGGGACAATCATACATATAAACACATCCAATGGTGTGGCAACATATATTTCTACACACATTTCAAGAAAATCACACAATTCTAACCTTGGAAGCCAGGACCAAAC